GACATAAGAGGGGAAAGGTATTCGTATTCACATTTACTTAAAAAAGTTCAACTCAGCTAGCAGTACAATTTTACAAATGTACATAGTCTTTCTGCAAATCCTAATGAGCATATGAGGAAAATCTATTAAATGAAACTATTTGAATCGATTGTTAGCAAAATGATCGTATTTGTTACACCACCAGCATAATGTGAAAGCCATGAAGAAGTGTTTATGCAACAAAATAAATGTGGTAAAAAACTGATAATAATCAAACAACCCTTGAATATTACAAAAACAGAGCTTTAGTAAATATAGAGCATTACAGACATATATTTAAACGTTAAAATCAGCCACAGAATTAAAACACATGCGAGTTACTCTAGACCGCACATTAAGAGAAACTGAAAGTAAAACTAATCTGAATGCAGTACTTTAAATATCGACTAGACGACCAGTCAAAACCAAAAGTGGCTAGATGCAAAGCTGCTCAACAATGATAGAGGTTCAAAAACATGTTTTGCCAAATCTCATTATATTTTCAACGTCAACTGCGGGATGGAGGGAGGAGGAGGGTGGGCCATAAATGGCCTGCCGGCCGGCAGTTTGTGACCCCTGCTCTATATGGTTCAAAACTAAAGAGCCATTTACAGAAGAAAGCCTTTTTACATTTGACTTAGCGCTCAGGAATGTTTTGTTGTTGTTTTTAATCCTCCCATGTCATGTTGCTGTCAAATAAAACAACTGTAATGGAAGCTTTCAATGCTTGCCCCACCTCCAAGTTCTTCTGATTGGTCCACTGCTTTAGAACTGACGTTAATGAGTGATGCTGTGATTAAATTCTGAACAAAGGATTAAATTCTTTTAATTTTTAATTAATTTATTTATTTATTTTTACAGTAATATGATCGGTTGAGGTGAAATGGCTACATTTAAGTAGTTTTTTTTTATCTCAAAAATATAAATGTGTTTTTACGCTTAATCATTTATCAGATACTTTGTCCAAATTGAGGTATTAGTTAAATTGATATTTTATTCAATGTCATATACAGTATACAGTTTGTTTGGCCCCGTTTACACTGCCCAATTCAGATTTTTAGCTCATATGTGACATATTAGATCTGTTCTGTGATTATGTAAACAGGCACGTTCTGTACATTATTAAACTTGCGACATTGTGGTACTTTTCCACGGTTTAATGATGTAGAAGGAAGATCGTGTGTATGCTCTAAAATTTCTAACCCATAGCTCCTTATTAAAGCCCGCCACACATTGCTCCCACCAGACCCGATACTGTATCTCTCTCGTACTCACAAATTCCTCTGAATGGTGGAGGGCACCATAAATAAACCATAGGCGCAAGCTGCGATGATGGCCTTTTCCCTCATCCTCAGCCTCAAAATCATTTTAAAACTTTGCATATGTCCCAGAGCTAAAAGCATGACATTTTCTTCCATTGTGGCTAGTGTGGCGCAGATGCTAGAACCCGCCTTTATGCATGCGAGACTTTGTAAATTGTATGGCAAGTGTAAACACCAATTACATATGGGTCACAATTAAGAAGAAAGTGTAAACGGACAGGCAAAAAAATCAGATAGGCAACAAATCGGAATTGGGCATTAAGACCTGACAGTGCAAACATGGCCTTTGTGACACTTCATGTTTGATATGTTTGAAATAAAAATAACTCTTGATACAAGTATTTATCAGTAAAAAATAAATAAAATAGAAAAATATAATAGAAAACATTTTACTGCAATGAGAATATCTTCTGACCTGTACTGCCTTCATAGTCAATTTAATTTAAGTAAAGATCATTTTAGGTGCTCAAAATGCTTATAAATCAAACAAAAGAATGACAAACTGGCACATATTTCAATTAATCTGTCAAGGTTTGCTCTCCAATTTTCCTTTACAGATGCATTTTAAGTGAGAAAGCAGATGAGATGTGTACGTTCTGATATAAAATTTTCCAGTCTTTTTACTGGTCTCAGCTGATCTCTAGTGCCTCTGTTTCCATCTTTTCTCTTTCTGTCGCACATACTGTATAAAGCATTCTCAATAAATGCCAAATACACATTAAGTGGCTAACAAGAGCATAGAGTCAAGTCTTCAGAGAAGCTGCGGTTTTGGGTCAACACAAACAGGGCTAAACTTCTAGGATGTACTGTATGTGCAGCAATGGGGCACTTTTAATTTGTACATTAAATTGCAGTATTGAGTTGTCTACACATAGACAACACACTGGTTATTAGGTAGCAATGATCCACCAAAAGCAAACCTGGGTAAAGTGTGTATTTTAAGCTTTAAGACAAAAACAAAAAAAGGTGTGTTATTTAAGCTACAGGATAAAAAAAAAGCTAAACAAAAATGTGACTTTTTATCTCTCATTTCTGACTTTTTTTCTCACTACTAAAGTGCTAGATGTAAATATGGCATTGCAAGTAAAAATTATTTTTCTGACTTTATCATGCAAAATTCCAAATATTTTCTACAGTTTAGGGGAAGTATACTTTCTTGCCTCTTAGATTAAAAAAAACTCAGAAATGTACAGTAAGATGTAAACTTTTACTTTTGAGAAAAGGCAGATTTTGAAAACATCTCAATTCAGAATAATGAAAACGCAATTTCTCACAGTTGATGTATTTTTTCTTGACATTCAGAGAAAAT